AGGAGGTTCTATAAAAGCTGGTCTGTATCTAGTTCCTGCCAGACTGCTTTACAGTTTTACCAATAGTTTTTGTCAAAAGGTGAGTTCTTGCTCCAGTAGCTAAGATGTTTGGTTTTATCAAACTGTTAAGCTACTGTGCTTTTGTGCTTCTATATAGTATACCTAATCTGTTCTACTGTTTAACTTCTCTACTTACAGTGGCATACCAATTTTTTTTGACAATTACAACTTTATAATTTAATATGCATTCTGGTCTGCTAGATTGCCTACTTTCCCATTTTCTCCCCATTGCTTCCCTCAATATTCTTGACCTTTTGTTCCTACAGATGAATTATGGGTGTTTTTTTTTTCCTAGCTCTATGACGTAAGTCTTTGGTAATGGGATTGGTATGGCACTGATTGAGTAAAGTAATTTAGGTGGTATTGTCATTTTTATTATACTGACTTGGCTTACCCACGAGTAATTAATATTTCTCCAGTTATTTAGATATGTCTTTATTTGTGTGAAGAAGGTTTCATAAATGTATTCATATAGTTCCAGTGTGTGTCTTGGCAGGTGGACTCCCACATATTTTATACTGTCTGCAATTATTTTAAATGGTATTTCTCTTTCTATCCCTATCTATGCCAATGATTTATGTGCATTTATTTTATATTCAGCAATGTTTTGGCTAGTTTTTTTAAAAACTGATTTTCTAGGGTTCTCTAAGTATACCATCATATTATAAAAAATGATAGCTTTGTTTCCTCATTGCCTATTCTAATTCCTTCGATTTCTTTTTCTTGTCTTATTGCTGTAGTTAGCATTTCTAGTTCCACATGGAATCATAATGTTGATAACAGACTTTCTTGTTTCACCCTGATCTTATTTTTAAAAGGCTCCTAGCTTACTCTCATTATAGATAATGCTTATTCTTGGTTTCAGATAGATACTTATTTTAAGGAAAGCTCCATTTTCCTGTGCTTTCTAGTGTTTTTAACAGTAATAGGTGTTATAGTCAAAACTTCTTCTGCATCTTTTGAAATAATCATGACTTTTGTTCTTTTTGCTATTGACACAGTCACTTGTGCTTATAGTTTTTCTAATATTGAACCAGTCCTTCGTTCCTGGTATAAATCCACCCTGGTCATGTTTGCCTTCCTAGTGTTTTAGTTACAATTTTTGCATCAATATTCATCAGGGATATTGGTTTATACTTTCCTATTGGATAAGCCAAGTTTCTGTACCCAACTGTATGTTTATTCTTTCCTCCTTGAAACCATTTGAAAAGAGAGTAAGATTCAAGTGTTGCCTGCCCTCCTCCACTATATAAACTCTTCCTTGGATGCTTCATTTATGTAAGAGAACCATTTTTCCTCTCCTTTGTGATCATGCAAAAGATCAGCTCTGATCTTTTCATCAAGAATGATTCAAAGTTTTCTTTTTCGTCAAATGTCTGTTTTTCCCCCTTGAGATCATACTCAGTTTTGCTAGGTAGGATTATTCTTGGTTGTGATCTTACATCCTTTGCCTTCTGGAAGGCTAAATGTTGTATGATCCTGCCTGTAGCTGCACACTACTTGAAGTCTTTCTTTCTGCTTGATCTGGGAGCTATATTTTGATTACAATATTCCTAGGAGTTTTATTTTAGAGTTTCAAGAGGTAATGGATAGATTCTTTGAATGTCTACTTTGCCTTCTGGTTCTAACATATCAGGGTAGTTTTCTTTTATAATTTCTTATACTGTGATGTCTACACTCTTTTTTTGTTGTTCATGAGTTTCAAGACATCTAATGATTCTTAAATTATCTCTCCTCAACATATTTTCCAGGTTAGTTGTTTCTCCAAAGACATTTCATGTTTTTTTCCTATTTTTTCAGTCTTTTGACGTTCTTTTTCCTTGATGTCTCATGGAGCCATTAGCTTCCATTTGGCCAGTTCTAATTTTCAAGGAGTTATTTTCTTCAGTAAGGTTTTGTGTCTCTTTTACCAAGCTGTTAATTCTCTTTTCCTGTCTTTTTTTCCATAGCTCTCATTTGCTTTTTAAAATCCATCGTTTAGCTTCTTAACTCTTCTAGGAATTCTTGTTGGGCTTGTCTGCAATCGACACGTTCTTTGAAGATCTGATTATAGATGTTTTCAGATCATTGTGTTTACAGCGTTTGAGTCTAGAGCCTCCCTGTCACCGTAGTAGCTCGTCATAGTTGAGTTTTTTGTTTGCTCATTTTTTGAGTCCGCTCCTTGACTTCGGACTACTTCAGGGGAGAAAGGGGAAGGTCGAGTCTGAGCTTCTTTCCTTTCATGTTCTGCTGCTGCTTTCAGTCTGTAGGTCTGCACGTGCTTACAATGTGGTGTGATCCAGGGAGTGGTCTGCTCACTGCCCTCCAGGTCTGAGTTCTCTACGAGTTGGATCTGTTGGCTTGTGTATAGTTGAGTGTAAATGGAATGCTGCTGGACTAAGTCACTGTTATTTCAATGGGAGGTTCTTTAGCAGGACAACTGACTCGGTGACTCCCCTTTGGTCTTGGTCTCCAATCCCGGTTGTTCCACTGTATACTCACATGTTGGGCCAAGTCTTAGAACTGAGTTGCCACTCTGCTCTTGGGCACAGTACTAAGGTAAAGCCCTGCTCGCTCAGAATTGTTCCTCTCCACTCTGGGTCTGTGACCCAGGACTGGGTAAAGGGCAACATGCTGCCAGATAGCACCTGTTCTTCCCAGTGCTAATTCAGGGGTCTCCTGGGTTCCTTTTCTGCCCTGAGACTTCTGTTTCAGCTCCCTCTCTGTTCCTGGATATCCCTCATCCCCACTGCTGCACCACCTGCAGCTGGCCATGTTCTGCCCCAGGTCATGTCTCTGTCTGTCTTCCTAAGTTGCCCTGGGCTGGAAAAAAATGACTCAATATGACCTTTTCTTTGCTTTCCTGTTTAGAATTTGGTCTGGAACATTTTCTAAGTTGTTGTGAAAGAGTTGTGCTAGGGAGCTGTGGCAAAAATGCACCCTTGCTGATTCTACTCATGTCATACTTTCTAGAATAAATTCTTCCCTATTTTCTTTCCCTCTTTTTACTCTAAGGGAAGTTTAACCAATACTTCTTCAGTGTGTAACAACTTAACTTACTATTAACTTATTGTTATAATAATATATCACTATTGATATTATTCTATACTTGTTAAATCCTGTTTTGCCACTTTCATTTTTCCTATCATCACTTTTCTAGGGCTTTAATTACAATGAAACATACTTAGATCACCCCTACTTCTAATGAGACAGTAGTGATGACAGTAAAAGTAATCATTACAAATCTTATCACAGAACCTTAAGCAATACATCAGGAAAATATATGTGCTACCTGCACCCCCAAAGTAAAATGAAGAATTAAGATAAAAACTTCCACAGGGACATCTAGATAACTGATGAGTAGAGATGGTATGGTATAGTTAAAGAGCCCTGCAACTTGGAAAAGGAAGACTTACATTCATTTCCCACCTCAGTTATTAACTATGTGACCCTGGGCAAGTCAGGAGTTGGCCTTGGGTTATACAGGCATCTGTTTCCATTCTCTGCTTCATTTTGTAGTGTCAAACATGTGTAGTTGTACAGATGTACTTTTCGTCTCTAAGGCTAAAAAACTTTAGAACTTTAGTACACGAAACTTTAGAACACTTTTGTTGTTGCCATAATTAAATCCCTTGTTCTTTAGCCATGGTTTTATATTTCTCTGCTTTCCCTAGTACAATCACCTTTTACAAAATTCTCCCTGGCACTGTCATAAATCATGACACCAGGAGATGCTTTCAAATAACTGTAATTTCAACAAATCCATATTTAGAATAGATGTTTAAAATTCAAATTCTCTTTCCTTACATTTTAGACGTCTTAATTTAAAATTAGCTTAAAAGTACTTAAAAAGGGAGGGCTTTTCTTGGGGGTTAAGAATTTGAAAGCAAATGTTAGGATGACAGTAATTCAAAAAACAATGAAACAAAGAAAGGAAAGAGCATCAGTGATGCATTTTTAAAATAGACAACAGAAGGCAGCAAGATATTCAAAAGAGTTTATATGGCAGTAGTGCAACTACCATGTTAAATTATATGTATGTACACATACTTTAAAAAAAAAACAAGCTGCACATAAATTGAAATTCATGGCATCATACATATATAAAATTTTTCTTTTCTTTGTATAAGGAAATATTCATGTTTGCTGATGTTTATAAAGGTCATAATAATAAAAAATTCTTCAAATTAGTATCTTAAAACCATTAAGCATATAAATAGAAAAATTATCAAATCACACTTCTTTAGTTTTGCCTAATTAAGATATCACCTACCTATATTTATGTCAGTATAGATTAATTTATGTCAGTATAGATTATCATTAAAAACATGAAAATTAGTTATTTATAGTGATATGTACCAAAAAATAATGAAAAGATCCATAAAATACCATTAATTTATAGAACGATACCTTTGAATCAGTAAGATGTTTTCTATGTGTATATTTATTCAAATGTTTCATCTATTTTATATATGTGTCTGCATACATAATGTATGTGTGAGTGTGTATACATCTTATTATACATGTAAAGTTATAAGGTCACAATATACTGTCAAAGATGACAGAAGATAGTAAATCCTTTTTTTCTTAAAAAGTCTATAATAGTAAATTCAGCTTAGTGTGATAGTATAAAAAGACTGAAGAATGCTATGGAATTTAATACTAGCAAACATGTTCCCTTTGAAACGGCAAATTAGATGTGCAGTAAGATTTTGGTCACACTTCAAAGAAGAATGTGCTGAGCTAGAGAGCCATCCTGTTTACTCTTGCTCTCCTGATTGAGGTTTCTATATGTTAAACAGGTTTTTGACTACTTCAAAGCATGTTTGAAGTCCACACTCTGCATATCTCATGCACAAAGACAAACATTCTACCAAATTTCTGCTCATTATATTTGTAAAGTAAGTGGAACCTGGGCTTTTTTTCTGTCAAATACTAAAAAGGTGCCGCCTTTCCTTTAGCTATGACAGTGAGGGCCGTCTGACAAATGTGACATTTCCAACTGGAGTGGTCACCAACCTTCATGGAGAAATGGACAAGGCTATTACAGTGGACATTGAATCATCCAGCAGGGAGGAGGATGTCAGCATTACTTCAAATTTATCATCAATTGATTCTTTCTATACCATGGTTCAAGGTAATAAAAAAATTATTATAAACTAATTTTATGTTTTGTTGGAATAAAATATTAACATCATTTAAAAGAGGTTTTTCTTTTACAAAGAATACAAGCATACTTGAAATAAGGTTGCCCCAAAAAACATCCCTTTCATAATAACACTATAAATACATGATAATCAAACTCCCTGGAAAGTTACACAACTCCCCTGTAACCTAATTTGGTTAATCATTCATTTAGGTCATTTTTGCCAAGGAATGATGATGATGTTGTTTTTACGTAACACCGTTTTTGCTAAACCAATTAATGACACTAAGGAGAGGGGAGAAATCTTCTAAAATCTTGAAGGAAGGAAATATATTGAGAATTGTATACATACATCCAGCCCCCCAAAAACAACATCTTGTTGATTGTGCTACCCATATCATAAAGGATAATCTCACATTATATTAAACATAAAAACAGTAAGGCGGGGAGGAGGGGAAGCCCCAGGAATGGAGAAGGATTGAGTATTTTAAACACCGATATAGTGTCTTTATACTCAGGCAAAATTTTTATAGCAGGAAACAATAAGGGAAAAACTGTTTAAGTTATTTTCTAAAAAGGCATTATTAAAGATGTTTTACTTACAAATGCAGATCATTCGAAGAATTGTATCATTTTTAATTGCACAACATTCCAGATGTTTATTCCACATCCGTGGTTTATACATTTCTGCTTCATTGCTTTTTCAGATCAGTTAAGAAACAGCTACCAGATTGGTTATGACGGCTCCCTGAGAATTATCTATGCCAGTGGCCTAGACTCACACTACCAAACAGAGCCACATGTTCTCGCTGGCACAGCCAACCCAACAGTGGCTAAAAGAAACATGACTCTCCCTGGAGAGAATGGCCAGAATTTAGTGGAGTGGAGATTCCGAAAAGAGCAAGCCCAAGGAAAAGTCAATGTCTTTGGTCGAAAGCTTAGGGTAAGTAAACATTCAAGAGGACCTTCCTAATCCTTCCCATGCGCAGGTGGCCAATGGGCATGAGAATTACCTTGGACCACTACTGGGCTAAGCCTGCCAGAGCTACCAAAGCTGCTTGCTATTTCTGATATAGTTTAAGTTAATTTTTTCAGAAAATATTTTATGCTTGAAAATCCATAAGGGAAAGCGGTTGCCAAGGCTGAAAGTTTCCCTTCCTGGGGCAGCCTTCACCATTAAAGACCTCCGGTGATATCACAAAGAAATTAATCCACTGTAAATCCAACTTAGCCACTAATGAGTAATTAGACTAATTGGTTGAACAAGACAGTTTAGGCTTCTAATTAACATCACAACAATATCATGGCTTCTCTTCTTCGAACCCTGCTACCCTGGCCAGGGCTGACTCCCTCACATTAAGGAGGTAAAGATAAAAGAATTGGCTTTAATATGAAAGCAGGTCCAAGCCTTATAAAGGTAGCACTGAGAAGGACCCAAGTGATAATACACAAAAGGGTTAAATGAACTTCTACTGCACTTGACTTGAAGGTGACTTCTCTCTTCTCATTTGGCTTCTCCTCCACCCCCTCCCAGTTCTCCTAACATAGACCTTGAATCAACTATAGATTGCCATATTCAGACCCTAACTACTGCTTCTGTATTATTAATGGGACCCCCTATTTTTATTATTGTTCTGAGAAATACTCTGGTAATTCCTATTTCTGATCTCGATGGCATAATTGATTTTTTTTTTTGTAAAATGTTCTGCTACCTGTACCTTCACAATTTTGCAAGGCACTTTCTTTCCCCTCCCTATCCTATAGTAGGCCAAATATATCTAGCAGGCAAACTATGATTTATGACAGCTATTTGGTAAAGACAACATAGATTAAGTACTCGAAACTAGGTTGCCAGGAGACCACCTTAGGACCACAACAGACATCTGAGTTATTAGAATTGAACCTGATTCATTCATTCTATTAGTAAATACGCTGTAGTTTATCAAATAAAGGTGAATAACTTTAGACAGTTTTTCCTGACTAGTATTACATCACTTGCCATTTTGTGCAAAGTCATTACAATCAAGGGAGAGAAACCAGAACATAAAAGGTGGCTTTTAATGCCTGTTTATTTTTGGCTCCCCAAAAGTTTATGTTTTTTCTCATACCCACAGTAACAATTATTTACCTTGGCAGTCCCTCAGGGTGCAACAATATCTACCCAACTCTGTCACCAGCTATTTACAAGAAACTAAAAGAAGAAGTGAGGCAAAATGGTGGCAGGGATGCCATTTTTTCAAGGTGTTTGCTAATGGTCATCCATCAACAGTTGGCAGAACAGTTGGCACTGGGGTTGGTTCACTGTTGACAAAAAATGGTATATCAGAATCTTAACATCTCCCTTCTCATTCATCTACCCTCTAAGAAAGAAAGTTCTTCGGACTAAAGGACTTGGGTCATTTGTTCATTCAACCAATATTCAAAAAAAGCCCCACTGAGTCACAGTGCTAAAATGGTTTAAAAAAAATTAAAAACCCCATAGCCCCAGTCCTAAAAGAGTTCACAGTCTACAAGAAATATTTGTGTACAGTATGTTAACAAGGATTAGGAAAGGTAGAATGTGATAGGGACAAAAGAAATATCTGATTAAGTGCATTAGTAAAATTCTGAAGAAGTAATCCTTTCCTCTCAAGTTGTCAAGGAAAACTTTGAAGGGGAAGTAATGCCAGAGCTGCTGGACATGATACTATTGAAATCCCCATACCATCTAATGTGGTTCTTTGAATAGAGTAGGGCAGAAGTGTGAAAGAAGCCCAAAGGAGATTAATTAGTCGATCAATAAACATTTATTAAGCATCTACTCTGGGCCAGGCACTATGTTGGGGATACAAAAAGAGGCAGAAAACAATCCCTGCCCTCAAGGAGCTTACAATCTAACACATTTAATTAAAAAATTAAGACGTAATTGGTAAATGTTTAACAAAATAAATAAAAATACAACATAGATAATGTTAACTTGTCAATGTCTAAGTCAATATATAGACTTCTGCAATCCTAAATTTGACACTATTGGAGTAGGAAACAGGGTCAGGCATTAGCCCTGTGATTTTGTTGTATAAGGAATTCCAGGTGAGTAGTATTCCTCTACGTTACTGCATTAGTACAGGTTGGTAGCTCTGCAATTTCCAGTCTTAGAGAGATTCCTGGAGTACTGAGAGATTACAGACTTGCCCAGTGTCAAGGACTTGACCTTAGGACTCCCTGGTTCCTAGGCCAGCTCTGTATCTACTCTATCTCTGGAGAAGACTCGAGTCTTCACTGTCTACTGGAGGTGTGTTCTGGTTATTGACCCTCTCATGAAGGGCATGATGGGAATGATGCTTTACGCCAATGGCTGTGAACTACTTCTTTTCTCTATTTGTTTCTTCTCCAAGTTCAGGTCTTATCTGACCTTATTTTCATTCTTATACCCTGATGGAGACAAGTATCTCCAGGAATCATCTTTCTCCAAAAGAGAAGCAGCTGACTGAGCCTATGATGGGGATATGCACTCCCTGTCCAAGTCATGCTAGATCATCAGCAAGGCCCTGCCCTCTCTAGCAATTGATACCATCCCGCACCCCTTTCTCTTTACACTTTCTTCTAGGGGGTCTCATTAATGATCATGTGTTAAACTGTCATCTCTATGCAGATGACTCCTAGGTTTACACATCTAGCCCTAGTTTCTCCTGGGCTCCAGTCCCATGTCACAACAATAGTTATCTCTAACTCAACCTATCCCTCCCTTAGTCTTCTTCCTGCCCAATCCCCCAGTACCTTTGACTGCTCTTCTTATGGAATGGTTTCAAGTCCCTTTAATAACCGATTACCCTTCTCTGGATACACTCCACCTTGCGATGTCCTTCCTAAAGTGTTTTGCCAAAAACCAAACAACTCTTTAGATGTGGTATTACTAGGGAAGAATACAGTAGATTATAACCTCCCTCATTTCTGTCCACCCTGCTTCTAGTCTGAAGTCCTGGTATTAGAGGCAACATCAGAGTGTTTACTCATATTGCTCTCAGTCTATAAGAACCTCCAGGTATTTTTTTATGTGGAACTATTCTTTTGATATGCTTTACTATTCTGTATTTGTCCATTTGAAATTTTGTGCCCAAGACTAGGAATTCATACTTATCCCTACAAAATAACTTCTTCCTAATAAATTCACTGTTCTAGCATGTTGAGGTCTTTTTGTATCCTGATTATGTAAGCCAAGATGGTAGCAATCCACTAGATTTCATAAACATGATATCTATACTTTCTTCTGCTACTGGTAAGAATGTTGAACAGAGAATGGTTTAGGAAAGATCCCTCTGGAACTCCATCAGGGAACTCCCTCCTGGGTTGATATCTTAATCATTATTAATCACCTTTTTTTTTTTTTGAAATTGGTCATTCAACTAGTTTCAACCTCACCTGGATGTACTTATGTCCCTCCATTTTGTCCACAGCTAATAGCTAAAGTAAAAGATTGGCAAATGCCTAGCAGAAATTCAAGTACCATGTGCCTAGAGAATGGATTATTTTTTAATGGAGCCACGTTAGCACGGAGTGGTGACTGCTTTTGCTTTTTTTCCCCCGCGAGTATTCATCAACCATCTCTTTAAATCAAGATTTTTTCCAGGAAGAGAATTCAAAGCTCATTTATCCATAGTTTGAATAATTCGATTTCCTCCCCTTTTAAAAAACAAAGACAAGATTTTCCTCTCTTCAGTCCTTTGACCCCTCTCGTGTTTGCCATACTCTTTTCAAGATCATCAAAAGTTCACCAATAACACTTGATATTTCTTCTGTTACTGAGGTGTAATTCATTTGGGCTTGATGATCTGAAATAGGTGGAAGCCACTATGTACTTTCTTCCTATCTTATCACTGGCATTCCCTGTTAACAAATTGTGTTCATTATTTCCAAGTTTAAAGGTTATGCTTTTTAGTAGAGTAAAAAAAAATCAACAAAGATTTTTCAGTATCTAATATGTGCCAGCTACTGTACTAGAACCTAGAGCAATGTAAGATTTGAGTAGTTCTACCTTCTCTTGAAAATAGGGATTATTTCATTTTTTGTACATGTATCGCCAGCATTTTGCAGGGGTTTGATTGGTTCTATCATTCTATTAATCCCAACTGCCACCCACCTTTGGTTATCTCTTTTCTTGATATCAAGAAAAATGAAGAAGAAAACTACATAAACCTCCAAGAAGTATGACCTTAAGGAGAATTGAATTTGAACGGCCATTTCTCTTTGCCTGTGTCCAAATTATGGGAGTTCTCTCCACTTCAGGGAGAAAACAGACAGTGTATAGAGGCATGGATGTTGGCTTCTTTTTAAATAGCAGAAGCAGGATGCCTCAGCAAGACTTCTCAGGAAACATACGATTTTAAACGGCCCGTTCACTCACACTGAGAGGAGGTTTCCATCTGATACACTCGATTGCTCCATTTGATTGCTCTCACATAGACAATGCAAAGATCACAAGGGAGGGTTTCTTATTTTCAAGATAAGATTGGATGTGCTGGCTTTGACTACTAATTTCAATCCTGTAAAGGGAATAAGAAAGGAAGTCAAGAGAGGAAGTGCTGACATGGGAATTTGGATTAAGAATTGAACTGAAATGTAGTAAGGCAAAGAAAGAGACAAAAAGGAGGTAGACACTGGATACAGCATCATCAACACAAATGAGACCTGACATCATCCCCATCCACAGCCAACTTTTGGCCCAAACCACATTTCCTTTTTTTCTACCTCTCATTATTTTTCTTCCACTAAGAAAGACCTTCTGGTTGGCTTTTGAGTTACTAACTTTAAATTGACTAAAGGCACAACCTTGCTTAAATTCAGATCTAAATTCAACACTATAACCATGTTTTTGCTGTCTCTATCTCACTGTATGACTTATTCAGAATCAAAATCAAGTCCAGGAGAATAGTTGTCTTGAAGTGAATAGTACAGTATGCTTGGAATCATTTGACTAGTGTACCATGCTTTTTCTGCCTATAGAAAAGCAATAAAAGAGAAATTAACGACAGCACAGAAAGTAAAATATCAAAGGGAGAACCAAAATTAATCCAGAAAAAGAAAAAAATTTAAAACTAGTCTTATTCAAAAATAGTACTTGGCATGTTTTTTTTAAACTAATGAACTGGAAAAAATGCTTTAAGAAGAGTTTTTCTCCCTTTTCTATCCATTTTCTCCCTTTTCTATCCATTCTCTTTTTTTAATAGAAAAAACACTAGGATTGGTAAAGTAGCAATGGGAAAAGGAGAAATGGTTTGGTTTTGTTTTTTATAGACAAGTCAGTTGAAAGAAAATATATTAGAAAATGAGAATTTTCAATCAGAAAACAGTAAAAAGAAAGTGGAATCATAGGGTGCAGGGAAAGCATAAGAAGAATAAAAAATAAGTGATTCCTTAATAACCATTCTACACTGTGAGACCTCAGCGATCATCTAATATAACCTGAACAGGATACACTCCCAACAAATAATCATCCAGCCCCTGGTTAAAGACTCCTAGTGATGGAGAAGTATGGGCTGAGTATGCCAACATTCCCTGGGAGAGCATTCCTCCTCCCTCCCCCACTAACTGCTGGCATACCTCTTTATGTATGCTTTTCTAAGTTAACAAAAGAAAGAAAATTTTCTAAGCTCCTTCTGTGTGCTTCACTCTGGAGACCCTCTTACTTCCAGAGGCGGTCCACTCCATTTTTGTACAGCTCTAGCTGTTAAGAAACGTATCCTTACATTGAGCCAACTGCTCCTAGTTCTACCTTTCAAGATTAAGGAGAGTAAGTCTAATCCTTCTTCCAAGTAGTGGTCTTTAGATACCTTAACACAGTTTTATAGCCAAATTTTCAGAAATAAAAATATTTGCATAAAATACACATTGGGTAGAAGTTGTTTTTCTTTGTCTGACACCAACACGACTAATACTTTGTATGTTTATTTTTGTCAGAACTGATAATCCAGCACTTTCTTTGAGCCAAATCAAAGAAAATATATAGCATTAAATAACCATATTCACCTTAGAAACTGTTACAGAATGCAGGCACTTAAAAAAAAAAGAACTTTAGTATTTGAAAAACACCCAAAAAATTATATTTGAAAAACTAAATATTCTGATAAAAACATAGAGCTAGGTATATAATGATTATAAAAGGTATATGTGAATTATGATAGGATACAGACATGTTGACCACTTGCACATTCTAGACCAGGATTGCCACTGACCCACCCGTACCAAATTGATTTGCTTAAGAGGGGACCAGGACATGTTTCTCTTTTACAATGTTGTCAGCAGAACTATGCTTTCCTGATTCTAGTACCCTCCCACAACCTACCCTGCATGCTTTGCTTGCACGTGCTCTCTCTCTCTCTCTCACACACACACACACACACGTGCAAACACACACAGTCGCTACCTTTCTATATCTGTTTCACAGTTAATCAGAGGGAATTATGTGACACCTGTCCCTACCTTCCTCACTGTGTTAGAATTAGCCTCATGCCATCTAAGAGTTGGTTTGAATTCACCCATGACAGCCATGATCTAAAAATCGTGATATGTTCAGCCCTACCTTAAAGAACTGCATTAAAAGAATTTTCTGTGGTCCATTATTTAAGCATGTGGCAGCAACAACATTTTTGGTTTTTAATTCACCCTAAAAATATTCAGACTGAGTTTCTGACCTGAATGGATTTTTTGACATTGAAAATAAACTAATGGGAAGTTATTTGATTCCTTAAAGCAGCAGTTCAGGAGAAGCCTGTCCTAGAATATAGGCATGTCTAGTATTTTGCCTACTGCTTGTAATGCCCAGAGAAAGGAATGCAGAGGGGCAGGGGCAGGAAGAAAAGCTCTGATCCATTAATCCTCCATGAAATGATGCCTGCTGGAAAACACAGAGGGTGGGGGTCTCAAAGCAGTGGGAATTTTTGTCTAAATCCCAGGCTTGTGGTAGGAATGTGAGAAAAGACAAGGGTACCTTCTAATTCTTTCCTTATTACATCAACTTGAAAGAGGATAAAAGAAAACATGTATGCATTCTGTGTCTGCACCAAGTCCCCACCATCTGGATAAAAGGGAAGAATTCAGACAGCCATCCAGATGTTTTGTCTACATGATACCAAATATCCATATGCTTCCAAAAGCCCACATGTTTGGGGAAGCGGACAGCATGGTCAGCAAGATTAACCACATGCTGCACTTCTTTTCTTGTTTAGGTGGTGTGTGGGCACAGGCACAGACAGAACAGGTGGGACAGAAGCCAGCAACAGGTTATACTAACAGGAAGGTATTAACTGTCATTTGAACAGCACTTTACAAAGTGCTTTCCCTACGAAGTTACTGAGAAGCAGAATGCATCCATTTTATTGGGGGGACTTGCCTAGTAAGTGGCAGAGTTGAGATTTGAACCTAGGGCTTCTGACCCCCAAAATACCATGCTTCCTCTCTAAAGGTTATTAGTGTCAAAATAAAATAAAATGTACTGAAGTCATCCCCTTGGCAGTGAACATTTCCTAGGTCTTTCTCCCCTAAACCACTGTGATACCAAATCTAGGGATCTTCTGAAATCCTAACCAGTTGAGTTCTGAATAGAGGAAGCATCTGCAAAGATAAAGTGGAATAAGAGAAAACCAAAGAGAATTGAAAAACAAATGAAAACTGAGGAAACAGATTGGGCTAGGGAGGGGGGAGACAAGAAAATGAAAACAGATGGGAAAATAACAATGATCAGCATTGTACATGAAAAGCTGTAGTGATTCATGGCAAGCCAGTTAAGTGTTGTATCACCTAAGGGAGAAGAAAGAAAGGGGCAAAGTCGAAGAATGCAGTTTCTAAAAAGCATTAAATGAGAAACACAAAAGCCAGTATTAAAATCTTTTCTGAAGCTACTAAAAGCTTTGTGTAGATATGGTTTGGAGAACACAAGCCTGCCAACTCAATTTAATACAGTCTTGAAACCAAATTTATGTCATTTATTGCTATCTGTTTTCATGAGTTTTATTAGTTCCTTTTTAATGTAACTTAGAGGAAGGGGCCTACAGTCTCTGCAACCATTTTCTCATGCCAGGATGGAACCACGGAAAGTCCAAATAATTGACTGCTTTAGAATCGAAGCAAATCAAAATCAAAGAACGTTAGAGCTGAAAGGATGAACATCCTCATTTTACCAATGAGGAAGCCGGGGACCAGATCCATTTCTTTGCTGCCCAAACAGCACAGTTGATTAGTGGTGGAGTTAAGACTACAGCCTAGATTTGTTGAATTCCAAGCCATTATTTTTCCCATGCCATCTCTTATCAATAAATATTTGGGTATCTACTATCTGACACTGTAAGAGTGATGCACAGGGCTTGCCTTGAAGCAGCTGTCAAATTAACTGAAGAGATTAATTAAGCAACAAAATATGTAGTAACGGTTCCAGACAACAATCAAAGGCATCAGTTAATTACCAAATCAATAATAATAATAAAATAAATAACTGCTGAAGAAATTTAGAAAAGGTAGAGAGAGGCTAGAGTCATCAGGGAAGTCTTTTTAGAGGGGGTGGGATTTGAGCTATGCCTTGAGATACAGGATTGGAAAGATGAAAATCTCCTAATTCCAACTCCAAGGCTGTCCCTTCTCTGTGTTCTTGTGCTGCTCAAGGAGGTTACTTTTTTTTTCCCAATTCTCTCAGAGCACTTTGCCACCAGAGCATTAAGTTCCCTCTGAACTTAAACCTTGACCATTTGGGTACAGGATGCTAAGTCAGCACTCTCTTTGAAGAGCAGATAATTGTAGAGTAGGAATTAACATTTAAGAAAATAATAAACCAAAGGAGGAATACGAGAGGCAACTTTAAACTGGATTTATCATCTGGTGGTAGGAAGGTTTCCTCCCTACATTTTGGAGAAAACTGATAGCAAGGTCAGCTGAAGCTATTTGCAGGTGTCAGGGAAAATCAAGCTAAAGATTTATATAAAGGAATCCCTCTTGGACACCAGTTATGTGAAATTAGAATTTCCTCTTTAATTTGGATATTTTAAGTTCTCTCTCTCTCCAGCACTTCATCAACAGCACAGTCCCTGTGCAATGTGGAAAACTGTTCTCAATGTTGTTTTGTGGCAACGGCCAAATTTAGTATGAGATTCGAAATACTACCCATAGTAGGTAGTACAGGCATTGTAATGCACTTTGGGCCAGATCTGTAAGTGGGCTGAAATGCTCGGGCAGAGAAGATTTGGTATTACAGGGTTCTGAAGCAGGTGTCATTTCTCCAAATTTGGTCTAAAGCAACAAGACCATCTACAAGGTTATGACTCTCTAGGATATGACCCAAAGCAATCATCAATAATATGGTTACCAATTCACTCTTACTTGTTCTACAGAGGGAAAGTTGAGTTTATCACTACACTACATTTTATTTACTGTCACTGTGATTAATTTCCATTTACTCAGTAATTACTTGCCTATGTTCTACACTGCTTGCGAGGCCTTGGGTAATTTAAATGGTTATTCCTTCTATTGCATCTGTGTCCTCTAAATGACATATGTCTTTAACGAACTCTTCAGCAAATTCATTTTAGTGTTTCTCCTAACCTGTTGACTAAACTTTGAGAAATTTAATTGAAAAGGTTTTGAACAAATGCCAGGCTGTCTCTCCATTTAATGAAACCTTTTAAAACAACCGTTAATCTAATGCCTTGTGCTTACACCAAGAAGTTGCTAAATTAATTTACTGACAAAGGGAATCAATCATCATAAATGGTGTTTAAACAATAGTGGGGACTTTGAAGAGTAATAAGTAACTGGTATTGGAATAACATGATTTATTTTATCATCTTGTTTGTTTTATAAAAGGTTAATGGCAGAAACCTCCTCTCAGTCGACTTTGATCGAACCACGAAGACAGAAAAGATCTATGACGACCACCGTAAATTTCTTCTGAGAATTGCCTATGACACATCAGGGCACCCAACCCTCTGGTTGCCAAGTAGCAAGCTGATGGCTGTCAATGTTACCTATTCATCTACAGGCCAAATCGCCAGCATCCAAAGAGGAACCACCAGTGAAAAAGTAGATTATGACGGACAGGGAAGGATTGTGTCTCGGGTTTTTGCAGATGGGAAAACATGGAGTTATACATACTTAGAAAAGGTATAATTTACAAACCAAAGATAGATTTGGGACAGGGGAAAGAACGGATGAGCAACATATCATAGAACACAAGGCCACTGTGGACCCAACCATTTGCTTTCTTTTCATTGTTGTTGCTTTGGGGTTTGTTTGTTTGTTTTTATTGTGAACTTAAACAACAACAAACAAGCATTAATTAAGCACTTACTCTGTGCCAGGAACTGTGCTAAATACTGGGGATACAAACAAAGGCAAAAACATGGTCCCTGCTCTCAAGGATCTCACATTCTAATAGGAGAGACTGCATGCAAACAACTATGTACATATCAGATATATACAGTGTAAATGAAAAGTAAATGGATTGGAGGGTGTGGGGTGGAAACAACCAGGATAGCCCTCTGGGATCTGAGCTGAGTCTTGAAGAAAAGTCAGGAAGCAGAAGTAAGGAGAGAGTATTCTGAGGGAAAAAAAAAGTTGATTCCATAGAAGTGTACCAGATCTCACCACTATACTATAAAGCTGTCATCATCAAAGCTATTTAGTATTGGTTAAAAAAAACATAGATATGTTGACCAATAGAATAGATTTAGATAAGCCTTGTGCTTGTCAAATAGGTGATCAGCACTATGTTAGATTTGTTACTGACATATTGATATATTGATATCTAAGGCACATTGGTATAGCAGTAATGAATTTCTGCATTAGTAAAGTAGCTTCTCCTTATAGTTAAGCTCTATTTTGTAAGACCTTCCAAAATGCCTGATTATAGCAAGCCAATAAACAAAAACTCTGCCCACCTACCAAACTTTTATATCAGAAACATGTACAAATGAGGCCCTGATCAGAACTAGGTCCTAATTAGTGCAAATAATGAATCCCATGAAGCAGTCACCATATTCAAATGCGTACCGCATATTTCCATTGGCTAGAACCAATTATAATATTTTACATAATTAATTATAACTTCAAATAGTGCAAAATCAAATACATACATCTACTTCATAGGACTTATTGTTCACACTAATCAGGACCTAGGTGTAATTTCACTTATATATAATTCTCTACTAACTCTTGAATGTTTGAGCAAAAGTCTCCTGGGAGCACAGATAAACATGTCAGTTTAAAACATTGTTCCTGTCACAGCTTCAATCACACTAAACTCTTTGTGTGATTGGTGCAGTTTCTGAGAGCCAAGGTTTATGGGAAATGAGAAAGCACTCCACGCTTGAAACCACATGACATTGGCCTGAGAGAGTACCTGGATCTCTACCACAATCCTGGGAGGAGGCTCAAGGTGATAGAGAGAAAAGAGGGCAATAGTATGCCCAGGACTAAGAGCCTTTGTACATTTATATTACAGAATCAGAGTAAGAGCCTCAGGAGGTCCATTTACTATTCATCCCTCTGTGCCTTAACTCTACCCAATCTGGAACAATCAGAGGCACTCAGACAACTTTCTCAGGCGTAGGAACTGGATACATCCTCCAATCTGGATAGCCATCATAACAGAGCTTCATTTAACCAATTTTCATGTTAGCCTAATTGACAAATACTTTCTTAACTAACAAAAACTTTCTTAGAATATGCTTAATTTTATTATCCTTTGTTCAGTTTACCAAAGTTCTACACCCCAATGCCCCATCATTGGAGACGTAAAGCAACCCAGTGGCACAGGGCTTTTAATCAAAAAGACTAAGGTTCACATGCCACCCCTGACACTTTCTTACTGTGAGACCGCGAGAAAGACACTTGACCTTTTCTGCCCTTCGGTGCCCTCATCTGTTAAATGGGGATGGGGAGCTTCTACCTCCCAGAGTTGTGTAGATCAAAACTCAAGGTGCCACATCAAGTCAGGTATTCTAATCATTGTTTCGGCATGTGTCCTGGATTTAAAGCTCACAGGTAACCTTAGAGGCCGTCGTTTTACAAGTGAGGAAAGGATAACTGAGAAAAGTTAAATGATTGCCCAGGTTCACACAGCTGGTAAATGTCCAAAGGAGGATTTGAACCCTGGGTTTGCACTTGCCACACCTGCACAGCATAAATTCTGGCAAGGCTTACCAAGCCGGCATTGCTTCGAATAGAGGCCCAGTGACAGACTGACCATAGACTTATTTTCCAAGGATCAGCCTAGCAGAGCTTAGAGAGGCTCATTACTACATTGGCCGCAAAATGACACAATTTTGAGCCACAGCAACTCTCAAAGACCTTCTGCTAGTCAATCAACAAGTAAGGACCTAGACCCTAGACTATGTGCCAGGTACCTTACAAGATGCTGGACACAACCACAAAGAATGAAGCAGCCCTTCCTTGGAAGGGACTTACCTTCTACAGAACAAACATAAAGTGCACAAAGGCAAAGGAGTTAAACCTGAGGCAGCTGGGGAGGGAGGGCATGAATAGCTGAGGACATGGGGAAAGGCTTCATATAGAAAATAGTGAACTCCCATATAAGGAAGACTGGTACCTTCTCTCCAACCTAAACTCTTAGAGTTCAAGTGATACACCCCTGTTGTGCTAGATGGCACAATGGATAGAGTACTAGGCCTGGAGTCTGGAATACTCTTCTTGAGTTCGGATCTGGCCTCAGACACTTACTAGCTGTGTGACCCTGGGCAAGTCACGTAACCCTGTTTGCCTCGATTTCCTCACCTGAAAAATGAACTGGAGAAGGACATAGCAAACCATTCCAATATCTCTGCCAAGAAAACACCAAGTGGGGTCACAGAGAGTTGGGCACCAAATGAACCACCACCACCCCCGCCCACATGCCATAGCCAGTATGTGTCAGAGGCAGGCCTTAAACTCCTACCTTCCTAGGCCAGCTCTCTGTCCCCTGTGCCATGCTTCCTCTTCCCTAGCAACAGAGAATTGATAATTTTACAAACTGTTCTTATTTAACACATGATTAATATATCATGCTTCCCTTTTTTCTGCATGTTGAAATATTATGCATGACTAGGGCTTACTCTATGAGGGTTTCCCTGGCAAAGCTAAAAATTTTTCCAAACACTTTGCCTCACTCTCAAATGCAGCTGGAAATATGGTTTCAATATGTCTAGAGCCAAGTATAGAGGGAAGGGGAGCATCTCGCTAAATAATTGCTAACTATGAGTAGGAACTGCATTTCCCACATGCTGTTTTCTACTTGGAAATAACGTCTTTAGAGCAGCTTCTCTTGTGCCTGTCTTAGAACTTGCCCAAATCTATTGACAGTCTGCTGTTTGGCCACAAGTGCCTGGGAAAAGAATGGCACAATCATAACAAGGGGGCACATTGTGAATCTAGTGCCACTAATGGCAAAACCCCTCACAATTAAGCAGCCAAGTAAATTAGGCAGGAAATCATTAAGAACATGTAAGGTCAAGGATAACTCAATTTAAATAAGAATTACCCTCTCAAGTGAAATGTTTCGTTTTGTTGTCGCCCAATCTTTTTTATTTTTCTTCCCCTTGTGCACAGACAGGAGGTTAAAATACGTTTTCTCTTTACAGTCAATGGTCCTCCTGCTTCATAGTCAGAGGCAGTACATCTTTGAATATGATTTGCTGGACCGGCTTTCGGCTATCACCATGCCCAGTGTTGCTCGTCACACCATGCAAACGATACGCTCCATTGGCTATTACCGGAACATATACAACCCCCCTGAAAGCAATGCCTCCATCATCATGGACTACAATGAGGAAGGGCTACTTCTGCAGACAGCTTTCCTGGGTACCAGTCGGAGGGTCCTATTCAAGTACAGAAGGCAAACACGACTTTCAGAAATTCTGTATGATAGCACAAGAGTCAGTTTTACTTATGATGAGACAGCAGGAGTCCTAAAAACAGTGAACCTCCAGAGCGATGGTTTTATCTGCACCATTAGATACAGGCAAATTGGCCCACTGATTGATAGACAGATTTTCCGCTTCAGTGAAGATGGGATGGTAAACGCACGGTTTGACTACAGCTATGACAACAGCTTCAGAGTGACCAGCATGCAGGGTGTCATCAATGAAACTCCACTGCCCATTGATCTCTACCAATTTGATGATATTTCTGGTAAAGTCGAACAGTTTGGAAAGTTTGGGGTTATTTACTACGACATTAACCAGATCATTTCTACAGCCGTCATGACCTATACCAAACACTTTGACGCTCATGGCCGCATCAAGGAAATTCAGTATGAGATATTCCGGTCGTTGATGTACTGGATTACGATCCAGTATGATAACATGGGACGAGTAACCAAGAGAGAGATTAAAATTGGACCTTTTGCCAACACTACTAAATATGCTTATGAGTACGATGTCGATGGGCAACTCCAAACGGTTTACCTGAACGAGAAAATCATGTGGCGCTACAACTATGACCTGAATGGTAATCTGCATTTACTGAACCCGAGTAACAGCGCACGCCTGACACCTCTTCGTTATGACCTGAGGGACAGGATCACTCGATTAGGGGATGTTCAGTATCGATTAGATGAAGACGGCTTCCTACGTCAGCGAGGCACCGAGATCTTTGAATACAGTTCCAAGGGCCTCCTGACTCGAGTTTACAGCAAAGGCAGCGGCTGGACGGTGATATACCGCTACGATGGCCTCGGGAGGCGGGTATCAACCAAAACAAGCCTAGGACAGCACCTCCAGTTTTTTTATGCTGATCTCACTTACCCCACCAGAATTACCCATGTCTATAACCATTCAAGTTCAGAAATTACTTCTCTGTATTATGATCTTCAAGGACACCTCTTTGCCATGGAGATTAGCAGCGGGGATGAATTCTACATTGCATCAGACAACACTGGGACACCCCTGGCTGTTTTTAGTAGCAATGGGCTTATGCTAAAACAAATTCAGTACACTGCCTATGGCGAGATCTATTTTGACTCCAATCTGGACTTTCAGTTGGTGATTGGATTTCATGGAGGCCTCTATGACCCACTCACCAAATTAGTCCACTTTGGAGAAAGAGATTATGACATATTGGCAGGACGATGGACAACCCCTGACATAGAAATCTGGAAAAGGATTGGGAAGGACCCAGCTCCTTTTAATTTGTATATGTTTAGGAATAATAATCCTGCAAGTAAAATTCATGATGTGAAAGATTACATCACAGGTAATTATGTTTTTCTTTTCTCAAAGGTGAATTAGTCTAATAACTACACTTAGAGATCTAAAAAAAATTTTAATTGATTTTTTTTAAACTTTTCACCTTCCTGTAACATGTGGACACCTAATATTCCAATGGTGGTGTTTTCTAGAGTGTTGGGGGTGGAGGGTGAAACTCTAGTTGATAACACCTGAGTGATAGGTAAGCACTAAGTATCAAATTCGGTGAAGTGTTCTATCCCCACCTTTGAAACTTACTCAGTAGGGAAACACTATGCTTCCCTTAGCATGGAAATAACACCATGTACACAATTATGGCTCTTTGGTTCCACTTTTATTCAGTTCTACCTGGTTGGTACTAGCAAGGTTAAGACATGTCTGCCTTTGGGCACCCACTATGTGCTAGCTTTATTCTCTAGTCACACTATAGCTAAATAGATACCTATAGATATACATACACACATACATATATATGTACACAAATGTACACAGCATCACATCCATGAAAACACAAGGCTATCATTGTCCATCCTTAATGCACTGCTGTCGCCCAACCTCCCCTTCCCAATCTCCACTTTGGACTTTCCAGCATTTTAATTAGTGGGGACACAAAGTATTGTCTTCCTTTCTTCTGATGGATCAACATGCCTTTGCTCTGTGATCTTTTAGTCTCTTACTCGGTTTTAGCATACTCCCTAGACATATAGGCAGGCCTGTGTGACCGCGACAGAGCTTGCTGTCTTTAGAGAGAATGAGGACTTTGGGGAATGTCAGGAATATTGCCAAGCAAGCAAAAGTTCTATAGATGTATACACATATTTCTTTGACTTTGGATAGGGCGGGGTGGAGTGGAGAATGTGATCTCCCAAAACTGGAGTTTTACCATTGGGCTTGGGTTGCCTTATGCACAGCAAAACTTTCTTAAATTGCAGAGTAAGATGGTGCATGTATACAATAATATATAAATGAATATACTTAAAGAAATATTAAAAGGGAGGTTTAACACACTCATTTGTGGGCTCTTCAGACCTTCCATAACTTAAGGACTACTAAACTTTTGGATTTTAGTCATCCTACTACATAGAGATGCTTACTCTTTTTATTTTTGAAGGCGAGGGATCAAAACATAACATTTGTTATTTAGAGACAAGCTACTTAAACCACAGCTTCCAGAAATGTGACATAGTATAAATTTGATTAAATTCTAATAAAGAGAATCAACATTAGACAAGATCACACTCATCTCTTCCCTGGAGGACATTCCTTCTTCAGCACTAAAGAGACTTCAACAGGAAAGATTTCTCTAATAGAAGACTAAGCTCTTGGATCCCAGCCTGCCCTGCCCTCTCATTCCTCTAGCCATAGCCCTTACAGCTCATGTTGTACGCCAGAAGCCAGCACACACACACCCCTTAAGTGCACAACTGAGCTTTCCTAGAGTAAGACGATTTTATAGTACAGGCTGTATACAGTTACCTCCCAAATCCATTTCCCATTACTCAGCTATGCTGACCAGGTTTAAGATAGGGGTTCACATCATTGCCAGCACAGGTTCCTTCTAGATGCTGCCTGTCCCTGCCCATTCAGGCTATCTCTGCCCTCTGGACTCTTGATTCTAAGGGTCTGGTCCTTCTGACTGATCTTCCTTCCCTTCTTTCACTCTCCAGTTTCTCACTGAGCTGGTACATTTACTTCCTGTCACCATCACCAACCATCTTTCTGATCCCTAAAGCAGTAAAATTCTTTCCTGCTTTCTTTCTTCATCTCTCTGGTTCTTCCAAGAGTTGTCCCTCTTGCTGTCTCAGAATAGGGCACTATCAGTCAATCTGTATTTATTAAATGCTTACATTCTTTTCTTTCCTTTGCTGTGCTTTTTTAACCCTGTACCTTTTTTCCTGTCACTTGGTATCTGCCCCTAATTTTCCAGAAACACTCCTTACTCTATAGGTGGGCCTGACTCAGGCTAGCACCCTGTTAGTTCAGGTTCAATGCCATAACAATACGAGGCAGAAATAGGTCATTCAGCAGTTAACAAAGGTTTACTTAGCCATTAGCACATAATGGATATTCCACAAGGATACTTCCAGCACTCAGCATGGGCAGATGTGGCATCCATTTCAATGTGGGAATATGGCTGCTTAGCAGGCTGAGGTGTGGCCGTTTGAAATTGTCTTGGGCCTTCTGCCAAATCTGAAGGGCCTCTGCCCTTAGGTGTCTAGCAAGCTGCAAAGGTTTAGCTTGGGTGTTAGCCCCCTGGGTCAGTCAAGTCCTGGGGACAGCTTTATTACTCTGGCAATCAGTGGTCCTATTACACCACAACTCTTTACATCTCAGCCCCTAGGCATCACTCAACCATAGGGACCGACTGAAGGACATTCCCCCCAACTCCACCTCTGACTCTCCATCCTTTTAAAGCCACATTTTAAAGTCAATTCCTATCGATATAGAATCATAAGATTCTATCACAGAATTGTCCAACCTCCTTATTTTATTGATGAGGGACCAAGGCCAAGAGAAAGAAGTTCAGTCATTTGCCCAATATCACTTAGGTACAAGTAGCTGAGGTGGGAGAACCCAGATACAGCTCACTTTCCACTGTGCATTGTGCCCTTTTCCCTCTACAACTTTCAAAACATTGAAAACTTTCCATTTGCATTTTAATATAGACATTTGTCCAGGGATGGCAGGAAGGGGAGGAAGGATTACCCTAAATTTCACGGTCGTTTTTTAGGCACGCTTAGGGTGTTAGGTTTTGTTTTATGTTTTGGTTTTCCATAACACAAGGTTCTCTTCAATCTCACGTGTCATCACAAAGAAGATCACTTTGTTGACTCTGTGACGAGTTTTAAGCTTCTCCTCTCATTTAAAAGATAGACAATATCAATGGTTTTGTAGCCGAATGAGCCTGGCAAAAGGAAGTGACTTCTGTCAGCCCGGTGATGAGGTGAGAGTTTGTGCCCTGGAGAAGCGAGCGGGAAACACGCGGCTCTCCATCATTTTGACAGGCAGTTTACCGGTGGTTATTTAAGAGGTGTTGACAGGGGCTGACTGGAGGGCTGGAAAGCCCACAGCCCCCTGAATTTATCCTCTCCTAGCAACATGAACTGCAGGGAATGCTATTGCAGCATTTTCTACAAAACATCAAAAGAGAGATGGAACAGCATAAAATATATTAGGTGAAATGCAATTTCAAATTTTCTAGCAATGTGCTTAATATCTAAAATAACCTACACCCAACTGTACTCATAAAGCTGCAGCCTGCTGAGTAGTTCAGTAACATTATAACCTCCAGAATAGAATAAAAGCCTTCTTTTGAGGTTAATGGCTTCTTGAGTCATGTGGCAACATTTTAAAATACCATTTTAAAAGTTTCCAGGTTCTCTCCCCAAAAAGTTTTTTTCTACCTGCACCCAGCCAGCCTTTGAAGTGGCAAGTGATGGCAACCACAGCCTCTGTGCCCATGGCTCTGCCAGCTTTTAGCATTCATCTTTGATTAAGAAACAACACTTGATGTTAATACTCCCAATTTAGTCTTTTTATTAATAGAAAATGAATTGTGGAACTCCACATATCCTAGGGCAATCATTGTTGCAAGCTAATAATGGCACGATTCCTATTAAAGGCCATAACTTACTAATGACAAAAATAAACTTCATTTGTTTTCTCCTGACTATGTCTTTTTGGTGATGCCGTGCAATGTCCATTACAGTTTGGGTCATTATTATTAACACAGGCTATTACTTACTTGGTATGCACGACATTTTACTCAGTTGGCCTAAATAAGCAACCAAAACTCCAGATTTTCAGATTATAAGGACATGCACGTGGCATTATGTTTGGAATAGCCCTGTTCTGCCTTCAGGGTGATAGTCTTCATTCTCAAAAAAAAGAAAAGAAAAGAAAAAGGAAAAAAAACAGGGGCTTTTGAATTACGTGGCAATAAAGATGGATGTGGGCTCTTTTGCCAGGTAATTTGTATACAGGTGTAACTTTTTAAAAGGTAAGGACTTAAATTGAAGAAGCACAAAATAAATTCTAACACCTTTCATTCTGTACATTCTTCTCCTAGATGTTAACAGCTGGCTGGTGACATTCGGCTTCCATCTACACAATGCTATTCCAGGATTCCCTGTTCCCAAATTTGATTTAACAGAGCCTTCTTATGAACTTGTGAAGAGTCAGCAGTGGGATGATATACCAGTAAGAATCAAAAAGCAAAACTAAAGAAATATGATTAATGGGAGGAAACTGTTCGGAGTGAACTCTCAACTCTCCTGGCTTTATCTGCCAGTCTTTAATTCATTTAGCAGTTGTAAAGCACGCACTACTGCCGTTTTTTTCTCCTAATAGAGTCAGTAAATTATTGTCATAAAAATGAGGGGGGAGACCTTCAAAAAAGAGGTTTTTGTTGTTGTTTAGGGTTAGAATTGTTTTGGATGGTGGAAATCAAAACCTATAGAAACATATTATTAACAGCTAACAAAACCTGGAAATCCATTTTTGAGCTCTGCATTTCCTAATGGAGCCCTGGGAGATCAGATTGACACTGGCACTCAGGGCCTGAAGGAAATGAGAGAAATAAAAATAGGCCAGGAAATAAATACAAGTACCACTTATGTACATGAGTGACTGGCATCCTACAAACAATACAAGGGTACAGTTTAACTTCTCTTTACTATGAAATCTGATTCAGGTGACAATGTAAGATACAGAATCACCCCTGGTCATGCTCATTATTGCAACCTAAACTCTGGGTGTTTTTGTTATTCCACTGGAAGGAAAAGGCCACACATACAACTGGTAACAATTCTAAAGGATGAAAGGAAACAAACAGAATGGCAAATTGCAAAGTCAAATCTGCTATTTCAGAAAATGGTGCCTCCAATTCGGACCAGAGATCAAAAAGAAATGCACAACAAAATACCAGGATTTCTAGCTTAAAGCAAAAATAATTAGAGATCAAGAAATTGGGTTATCCAGTAATGATAAGGAGAAGAAACTGCAGAGTTTGGGGAGGAGGGGTTAGGTTTTTTTTTTAAAAGATTAATTTTTCCTCCTGGGCAGTTTTCTATCATTTCGGTGAATATAAAGAAAAAGGGGACAATCATAGTTAGAAGAAAAAAGAATATAAAAGAGACTATGCAAAGGCCCCTGTTTTCTGCTCTTGGTCAGAAATTATAGATATTTCAGTCTTCCTTTAAATAGTGATTTTTTTTTAAAGATTCACCTTATTTGTAGGTTAATGTTCACCAAGTCTTTAAGATGGGTGATGGTTGTAAGGGGGAAAAAGGGCAAAATTTTAGAGCATAAAGACTGGATTAGTGATTTCATTAGTTTAGGAAAACTCCCTCCGCCAATGTCGATTGGCACCCTCTGTTCACCCCCAAGTCAAAGGGAATTTCCTAGGTCACTGAGAGGTCACACAGTCCTTATCACAGGTGGGCTTTTACTCAGGTCTTTCTGTGCTAAGGCAAGCTCTCTAGCTACTATGGCATTTAAAATGGATCTAGGTTGGTCAAGTGCTACGCAGACATGCCCAAGTTTTCTAACATATTTGAGGGAGGGTGCATTAATGGCTTATGGCATTGCATTAATCAATCCCCTCTGAAGTAACTGAAGTCTTTTGGGGTTGCCAACTTTTCTTCTAAGCAACCATTAGGGTCTGGTAAGAGTTTCCAATTAAGGAAAGAGCTCTAAGGAATCCCTGGTAAAAACATTTGGGCACCTCAGTGGTTGCGGAACAACTGTATCTTTTACTAACAAACCTGAAACAAACGCTTAAGTTCAAGAAGCCATGACCAGTAGGACAAATATCTGCTTTTGTCAAAGTGGTTGAACTGTTAAGGTGCCCCTATTAAAGCCCTCACTAATGCAGAAGGAGGGGCTTACCTTAAGTTTATTTAGGTCACTTCCCAAGGTTGCTGAAAATAATTGTTCTTAATAAGGTAGCAAATCATAGTTCTCTGTATTCAGGCCTTCAAAGGCTCCTGTGCTATGGCTCTGCTTATTGCTGTGAAACTCAGCTGAATGTGTTTACCAGAAAAGGATGAGTCTACCCAAATTAAATTGCAAGCATTCCAGAGCGTACAAATGGGACCCAGTGTTCAAATACTTAGCATCCTCTGAGACTCTTTCTCACAAGTCCCAGCTTTTGCCAGTCTTTTCCCTGCTTCCCACTGAGAAGGTTGGAAGGATGCAAGAGCTGATTAGCCGAGTTCCACTGATCCTCAAAAAACAACACAAATGTTTCTAGTAATTATGGAAGAAAGCATAAAGCATTAGTATTGGCAAATACTATAATCGTTTAAAAGCTTTGAACGGAGCTACATTTTTAAGTTGGAAAAGCAAACAGAACTCAAAAAGCATTTAAATGAACTTGAAGTCAGGAGAGTTTAAGAAAAGCCTTCCACCCAAGAGAAGAACTAAGCTCCTTGGTGCGTTTAAGTACAGCTTCTGCATTTGTCGCATGAAGGCAGTATGCTAAGGTGGTAAGGGCCAGGGAGGTGGGGGTAGAACCAGCTTCTTGGCCAGGGGCTATATATGCCCTTTAAAATGTCTCTCTGTCCCTTTCCCTTCCAGCCAATTTTTGGAGTCCAGCAACAAGTGGCCAGACAATCAAAGGCTTTCCTGTCCCTGGGGAAAATGGCCGAAGTACAGATCAACAGACACAAAGCCGGCGGAGAGAAATCATGGCTGTGGTTTGCTACAGTCAAGTCTCTGATTGGCAAAGGAGTCATGCTTGCCGTGAGTCAAGGGAAAGTGCTGACTAACGTACTCAACGTTGCCAATGAGGACTGCATCAAAGTGGCAGCCGTCTTGAATAATGCTTACTACCTTGAAAACTTGCATTTCACCATCGAAGGGAAGGACACTCATTATTTCATCAAAACCACCTCGCCAGAGAGTGACCTTGGCACCCTGCGGCTAACAAGTGGGAGGAAGGCCCTGGAGAACGGGATCAACGTCACCGTTTCCCAGTCCACCACAGTGGTGAACGGCAGGACTCGCAGGTTTGCCGACGTGGAGATGCAGTATGGCGCATTGGCTCTTCACGTCCGCTATGGCATGACTCTGGATGAGGAGAAAGCACGCATCTTGGAACAGGCCCGACAGAGGGCCCTGGCCAACGCTTGGGCCAGAGAGCAGCAAAGAGTTCGGGACGGAGAAGAGGGAGCCAGACTCTGGACAGAAGGAGAAAAAAGGCAGCTTCTCAGTGCTGGGAAAGTACAAGGATACGATGGGTACTATGTACTCTCTGTGGAGCAATACCCGGAGCTGGCAGACAGCGCTAACAATATACAGTTTCTTAGACAAAGCGAAATAGGAAGAAGGTAACACACTGGCCAAGTCCCGGCCGCCAAAGAGACAGTGCACCAAAGTCTTCTGATAGGGAGACAGAACTATCTTGCTGCATCACTGTTTGAGCCTAAACTACACCTTTGCTCAGAATTTTCTGTAGCACAATTTGAATTGGACTCTGTGAAAGAGAAGAGCCTTCCAGGAGAATGATACTGCTTTAAAAAAAAAAAAAAGAAAGAAAGAAAGAAAAACCCACAAAAACAAAACAAAAAAAAAATTTACAAAAAAAAAAAACAAAAAAAAAACAAAAAACAAAAAACCCTTTTTTCTGAATGACCTTAAAGGTGATCCGCTTTAAAGAATATGTTTACATATGCATATCGCTGCACTCAGTTGGACTGAAAGTACTAAAAAGGAAGAAAAGAAAGCGGCCTAAAACTTTTACAATGGGCCTCCTGTTCCTTTGAGGCACTGTATTTAACTAAGGTAAAGATTCATACAGTGTTTCCAAATATTACTGAATTGTTGACCTTTGCTTACAAGAAGTAGTCTCTGCATAGGATGTGCTATATATCTCTGTTAATTTTAAAACGTGGGGTAAAGTTACTGTTTATAGACAACCCAATTGCTTTAACTGTGCTGCTTTATAAAAGGACATTGGCACAAGGGGACTTCTGCTACCTGGGAATTTAATCATGGATTTTACAATGCTAACTTGGTTTGCCTTGGGGGAAAAAAACTGGCAAGTGGAACCCTTGTCACTGATAAGCAAAGGAGACCCTGATTTTTTTGTAAATTATGTGAGACAAGTTGTTTATGGATTTTTATATGAATTACAATTTACTGTACATCAAATATTAGTCTCAGAGGAGTTAATTTATGTAAAGTGTTTAAAAAAGTTTATACTTAAAAAATAAAATGATAAAAACATGTGAACTGTGTGATTTTTTAAAAAGGATTGCACCTTTTGTTATCTGTTATAGCTATACAGTATAAATGATTATATTGTAGAGATATAACAGCTTATGCCTATAACGTCCAAAAGTGTTAATATTTTTGTATTAGGTTGAGAAATTGTACATCTTTCTATCACCAACATGGATAGGATAGTGCAGTCCTTTGTGGGTGGCTATCAGAGCCCTTCTCGAAGTTTCTAATCATCATGCTGCTGCCCTCACCATTATATCCCAGGGGCACAGAAGCAAACTAAGGCTTGGGGAATGGGTGGAAGCCGTGGACAAACTGGGGTTTTCCTGGTCCTCTCCCAACTGTAAAAATAAATGGGGATTTGTTATAATTAGTCACTGGGGTTTTCTTGTTATCGTTGCATTGTTTCTGTTAGGGGAGCCCTGAAGCTACATGTCAAGGTAGGAGAGCATAGCGTTGCCAGGGGCTTGGAGAATGTTAGAACTGACTCACCGTAGTTTTAACCAGATCAGTCACCGTAGGTGACAAATGTGTCACTTTAAAGTACAGGCAAAGATAACGGAAACCAAGCCTTGTGGAGAGAGTCAGAGGGACAGTTAATCTTGCTTCTTGAACCTCTGGGTCACACAAAGAAACTCAGCAAGGGAGAAGAGAGCTCATCAGGCTCCCATTACCAAATCTCTGTATGAAGTGGCTGGGCAAAGGCAGAGAAACCAGGTGCCACCGATCAGACTTGAAGCTAGTTCACAGCTTGTACTCAGCCCCGTGTCTAAGCAAGCCCAGGCCCTGTCCATAATGGGCTCGAGCCACTGCTCCAATCTCGTTTCAGCCACAAAAATATTTTTTAGAAAATATTTTTCAGTTCCTTGGGCTAGAGTCCACACTGTTTTTCCTCTATGTATAATGGTGATAAAATATAGCAAGTGAACATGTCGTAAACATAAAGGTTCAAGTGATGTATTGAAAATAATTTTCTAACTGCTTTGTATGTATCACATACTCTAAATTGCACAGTAGGCGTGTTTATTAAACAGACTGGCTGGGAGAGGTTCGAAATAGCTACTGAATCGGCAGTATCAGTGCTATTACTGTATTTGTGTATTTGGTAGAGCATACCGAAGTAATTAATCTTATAATGAATGCTGATATTTTACTAGAATGGAAGCACAGATTAGCATCAATATTTTTTATCCTTGAAAGTCCTTTGGCAAGTATGAAGAACCCCAGATTTAGAAAACTATGAAATTTCAAACCACATAAACATGGCACTGTTTTCCATTTTCTTTTTGAAATGTAAACTGTTAGGTATTTGCAATTCTGTTAGATGGAACTTTCAGCAGTACTGTATTTAGTTAGCATGTTGTAAGTGCTTTTGGTGAAATAGGCTCAGAGTCTAAATTCTCAGAAACGTTTCTGACCTATTAAATATGAAAAGCCTATACCACGTGGCAGAAGTGAAATCATGGTCTGTCGTCTTGACATGTACTAGTCCTTTACATTGGCACGGATAAATAACAAATCAGAGTATCTCTTGGTGCTTATTTTAGATGAAGTCAAATCAAACCAATTAGTGGTCTTGTTAGTAGGTATAATGAGCCTATTTCTTATTAAAAAGACTTGTGATCTGGACATGCTTTTACAAGAAATAGTGACCTTGGGGAATATGTAAACAAAAAACCTTTTTTTTTTTAAGAAGGGGGGGAAAACCTGTATAATGAAAAGAATTAGCTTACGAAAAAAATTGATATTCAAAGTATTTTAGGCAAAGCCAGTCAAAAATGCTTTCATGATATTTTGAGATGTAAATTTTGTCTGATTTGTATTGTTCCTTTCATTTGCCTTCTTAACTTTATATGTGACCTGAATTTTCCATAACTTGATGACTATAGATTGCATCTAGGCATTCCAATAAAAGCCAACCCAATGTGTGTGTGTTTATATATTTCTTAAATATTGTGTTAGCCATTATAGCTCAGATATTGCTTTTCTCTTTATAGTTGAGGATGCAAATGAATACACTTGTGTTGCTATTGATTCATCTGCTACAGTTGGTAATATCTTTTTTTTTTTTGTCCATTGGCCAGACTGCTAACTCAGCAACGTGAGGTTCACCAGGGGATCTCTCCCGTGGCCTACTTTAGAAATATGTTAAATACACCCCACAAAGCCAAGTATTACAACTATGGGGGGGGGGGACCACTACCCATTACTACTCAAGACCAGTCCCTTTTTTTTTTTCCCCTGTGATCCTGCAATAAGTATACGTAATTAAAACACTTGATTAGAATAATCAGTTTGGGCCTGATAGGCTCCCTGCCTCCTGGAGATGTGTAAATCTACATATAGACAACGGACTGATTAGGACATGCTGATTCCAGCACTTCTGTGGCTGGCAGGCCAGCGCTTGGATTTTAGTCTGAAAAGGCAGCCTTCATCACACTTACTTTGCAGTGACAACCACTACTTGATAACATGTTGATCCAACAAGAATCAGGTCACTCGCTTGGCAAACTGGCCTATTTTCTCCTGCCCCTAGATATACAGCTCACACTTGGAGAGGGAGAGAACTGTATTTGCCTTAATTGTTTCAAAACAAAATACCAGTTTCCAACCCCATCCTGAAAACCCTGAGTTGGTTATTGGGTTTGGTTTGGTTTTTTTTGTTTGGCTGGTTTTTTTGGGGGGGGGGTGGAGAGCGGCTTTTGTTTTGCTTTTGTTCTATAAAAATGGCATCTGAACAAATGCAAAGGAAAATGCACTGGATAAAAATTAAATCCCAGTCCAAAAAGAATCTTTTCAGGAAGTGGGCTCCACAGCACCCTGCCGCTCTCAATGAAATGAGCATCTGTATTCATCTCTTTAATGAATAATATCCTGCAGTTTTAAGGGCAGGAATTAAACTGGTAATAGCTGCCTGAATATAAACATCTCATCTCAGGATGAAGATCCAAACATTTTTGAAGGCCAGAAGGGGGGAAAACATAGGCTACCTTTCAGTCAGCTAGCTGCATATTGCAAGCTCAGGGAGGGCTTACGGCACACACTTTCTCCTCTACTCTGTTCCAAATGAAGTGGCTTCTTTCTGCCACTGAACAGCAGAGCAAGCAGGCTTCCTTTGGTGCCCTTCAAGGGAAGGGATGCAAAAGAGGATGTTGGAAAGGCACAGACCCACAGCGTGGAGAGTCTGCGGCCAAATCCCCTTGTGTGAATACAGGCTGTTGTTTAGGGTGGAGCAGGTCCCCTGGATGGCAAGAATGCCAGCACCCTCCCCATTGCTAAAGCTGGAGCCAGGGACCCTGGGAAGCCTCAAAGAGCAGCCCCAAGCACCGTTACTCAGAAGAAGAAAACAGAGCTTCCTCTGGCACAATGATTAAGATCCTATTCCATTTTCTTTAAGAAGACTGATCTTCCTTCCCCCATCTCCCATCCCAGGCCCAGGCTATTAATTAGGTTATATCCCTCACATTCCTCCCCTAGCCTACCATTCCCACTGGATGTTGGCTTGGCCTTCTTAAAGCTTTCCCAATTCAAAAACATGCCATTTTCACATACAAGGGAAGATGCTGCTAACCCACCATCAGAAGGGCCACATGCGCTTTGTGTTACTTTTCCAGCAGAGTAGCAGGGATTAATTTGCACTGATCCATCCACAGCCCCTTTAGGATCAGTTCTGTTTGTGGTGAGCAGCAAACATTTGTAAGCCAGATGAGTGGGACTGGAAGGCTAAGTCTGTAGCCGTGGAAAAGACCAAAGCTAACTGGCCAACAGGAGAGCCAGACAGGCCCACAGCCTTGGTCTCATTTGCCCTGATTCTTGAAAAGCTAAGCTCAGCAGTCATTCTCTTTGCAGTAGACAACATTTCTGTTTCACCCCAAAAAGGGAATGAAGATAATGCAGTTTATGTCACTGGGCAATGAGTCCTATTTGCTTTCTCATTCAAGCTCTGTTCCATGTCCAGGGTGTACGCACCAAGCCCTACAAGAGTAAATAAAAAAAATTAAAAAATAAAACCTCACCCTACAGAAGTGCCAGCTCCACTGTTTATTACCCATGTGGCCTTGCACAAATCATTTCCTCTCTCTAGGCCTCGGTTTCCTCATCTGTTAAATGAGGGGTTTGGCCCATGTGGCCTTCCAGCTCTAGATAGGTAACTCTATGACTTTAAGATGCTTAACCTCTCTAGGCCTCAGTTTCCTCATCTATAAAACAGATTGATGATTTCTAAGGTTCCTACAATTGACTTTTAAAAGCCACAACACTACTGCTGGCCCTGAAGAGTTTACTATAGTTAAAC